AGAAGGCCATCCCAGTAAAGAATAATCCCTTTGCCATACAAAATCCAAGAATGCTACTGTGGGTTCTACGTGTGACATACAGCTTTGCTCCAAATCCTTCAGCTAGTCGCAATATCAGCTTTCAGCTGACTGTTCTTCCTGAACTGTGGCTATAGCTGATTAGTTGCTGCTTCTATCATTACAGATTTCAGCACCCTTGGAGGCTTTCTGTGCACTGTAGGAATGCAGACTGTAGCTGATGTATCCATTTGTCCTAGCATTTTATAGCATGAGACAGAACCTGAACCACTGAGATCTCACCCACTCTAAAGCAGGCAAGCACGTTTTTGAAACAGGTGAAGCAAATGTTCTCCAACCATACCCTCTGTGGATTGTCTTCCTCTGGAAAGGGGGAGGCAGTTGTTCCTGCAATTTGCCTTTCTCTGAGCAGTCACTCCCCTAGCAGCTTTTTCAAGCTGCTTTTCCAGGGCTTTTTCAAGGCTTTGGGATGTTTTTGTACAGAAGAAAATATGCAGTTGTTCATACTGTCAATTGCTCACAATAACTGTAACACCATCCTTAGAAGGTTGGGGAAAAAAATGGAGAAAGAGGTAAAAACAGCTGAGTGTCATTTAATGGAAAGACCAGTCTCCTTAAGAAATGGCTTTGTTTTTAAATTGACACCTGACGTGTAAAAGTGGCCCACAACCTCCACACTTTTTTTCTCTAACTTCCACTTGTTTTAACATGCTGTCTGCAGTGACGATTCTTGAGGAAGTACAGCTGAGCTACCCTTGTATTGCTGTCACTTCTTCAGACATCAAAAGAAAAAAAAAAAAACCCCAGAACTGAAACTAGTCACAAGCAATTTCTCCTCTCACTTTCTTGAAGGTTTGCTACATAGTTTAGCTGTGGTCAATTGTTAATGACTTTCTATTTTCTTTGCCTTTTGCTAAACTAAACAGAAACAAACCTTTGATTTAATGTTGAAATTTTACAGTCACTGCAGTGAGAGGCTTTCTAACACCCTGCATTAGAGCACTGTTGTTTACAAACTGTTGGAACATGAGGTCTGGTAGACTGCACTGACATAGCCCACTGAGCAGAAGCTCCTGAAATTCCTATTTGATTTATTAAAAGTCTGCTTTTCAGAAATCAGGTCCTCAGTTCTTAGCAGTAGTATGGGTGCAGAAGCATCAAAGCAAGCAGATTACTGTAGCAGCATGCATGTGCTACCAGTTGGATGGTTGCAGCCTATCTTATTCTTCCTTGTAATTTTGTTCTTCCTTGTAATTTTGCTTCTCTATCAAGGCTCTCTTGGCAGGCAACAGCTACAAAAGTCAGGAAGCTGTCCAACAGAAGACAGAACAAGAAGACTCTTCTCTCCTAACCCCTTCCTTATTTGATTAGCTGCTGAAGTGCTTTCACCTGCACTCCTTTCTAAAAGATAGCACTTTTATTTTTGTCACATGTGGAAAGTTCTCAAGAAATGGGTAATGGGTACATAATAGAAACAAATTGTTAATAGCTTGGGACATGAAGGGCTGTTCTGTGGAACCAGTTTAACTGAGTCTTATCTTTCCAGAAGATACCATAATTCAAGGTAAAACAGTTATGTACAGATATTAAAAATCCTCTCCTGGACACTCAACTGGTGCTTTGTTGCATAGTAGCAGCTGGGAGACATCTACTGGGTATGTTTTGAATCAAAAGAGGGAGGAAAATGTGGTATAAGATAGGATATTGCTGATTTGTCTTCTCCCTTTGCCTTTACAGTGGTGCCTTCAGTTTCTTGGGTGTAATGCCTCTGGTCAGTTGCTGTGATAAGAGCCCAGGTTTGAATGGTGGTTACGGTAACCAGGTCTACCCTGTGCCCCTGTGTATTTTCCAAAACTCAAATTGTTGGATAGCCAGTGCAGGTTCTCAGCTTGTACTTGCTTGACTTGAACCAGGAGAACAAGAACTTCCTAACTGCATCTTAACTCAAGCTGCACTAGAAATGTATAATCAAGCAATGAATTATTACTACTTGTACTATCTGCACTGAAGGGTAAAGCTTATGAGAGACATAAAAGCTTGGTTTTCAATCTGAACAAGCAACACCATGCCAGACATCTAAATCATCGAAAAGTCTTCTCACTGCAAGGTTAGGCCAAACTGCATAGCACCAATAAAGAACTATAATGGATATTAGGAGAAAGGCACTTTATGGAATCAGAATTCAGATTTGTCTTACAGACATGCCACTACCTTATTTTCTAGCATACATGAGGTACTTACTGCAGTGTATGTTACAGCCAATGGTCATGACTGTCACAGGAGCTGAGCTTGTGTGTTCACCATCCTTTTGGGCAGAAGAAAGTTCAATCACCTTTTCAAAAGGAAGTAGTTCCCTGTACAGGTTATTTAGTAAAGCAGGGTTATGGAGATAGCCCATTTTAACACCTGTCAAAGTTAATAAGCAAAAGGCTGGGAGTAGCTGTGGCCCTCCTGGCCACAGACTGTGCAAGGGACAGGCACGCTTTGCTCGGGGAGGTGGAAAACAGTGGCTCCTGGAATAGCAGGGTAAGAGCACTCTATCCTAAAGCAGAATTCTAGGTAAAAAGCATATACATTAACCCAAACTCTCATCCTAGCCATTACTTCTAAGTTAGATGCTGTCTTCTTCCCACCTTCCCAAAACCAGTGGTGTAGTAATTATGAGAAAGGACAACACAAATGTATTTTACAAGGGACTGAAATATATTGACTTAACAGTGTGATCTGTCTAAAACTGAGGGTACTAAATGCCTGTGAACCAGGATTTTAGATCTTGGTTAATGCAACATGTCATTCAAATGGGAATGTTTAAATGTGGTCAAAATAAACAGGTGCCTTGAGCTGGTCCATCATTAGATTGTTATCCCTCCTTTTTATTTATGTTACAGTATTTTAAGCCCTTCTAGAATGGATTGTAAGTTGAAGCCAGGATAAGTGCTTTCGTGAGTGGGACCTAGGATTCTACTCCTCCTTCCTGTCTTGGAGTTTGTGCAAAAGAAGATTTTTGTGTTGCTGTCAGACAGAAACATAAGAACTAAGTCCTTTCCTCAACACTTCAGATAGTGGGTTCAGCCCCTGCCTATTTTATGTAGTGTCTATCTCACACCTCCCTTCTCAATGTTGCAATTCAGAGGTCTAGAATTACCCTATACTGGAAGAACTCTGAACTGCAGAGGAAGGAGAAAAACTACTTGAATGGTATTTGTACAAGCTACTCAACTTATGCTGATATGAATATTTAAATACCAGCCTCTGTCTCAGATGATGCCTTGGTACTTCAGCATCAGAACAGCATCAGCAATACCAATTCTGAAGGGATCTCTTGGTTACCCTCAAGCAAGGAATTACATTGCAATGGGAGCTATGGAAGAGAACTAGTGATTTTCCCTGTAAAATGGTACAGATGAACACGGAGCCAGTTCTCACCACCTTACCCCTTGCAACAAGCTGGGTGTAATTCTAACAGCTCTGATGTTGTTTGCATCTTGCAGATGTGTGGTTGCTCCCATAGGCCTGTGGCTCTGTAGAGAAAATGCTTACTAAAAACATGGGTATTTTTAAATACAATTAAAGCTTACCTTTTTGAAATGGCTGTTGCCTTGTCTTTCCTGCCACTGGAGAAAAAACGCATTCCTGATTTTATTACAGAAACATCAACTTGAGGGAAAACTTCAATGGTGAGAACTGCCCTTGACTCTGAATGAGCCAGGGGCTGCAGAGCAATGTCCAGGTGTCTCTGTGGCAAGCAAAAAGAGCAAAGCACAACCACAATGTTCCTTGGAGAGTGACCCAGGGCTCCACTGAGCACTCTTCATTACTGCAAACCAAAAGACAGCACAAACCAGGTCCTATCGCCAGCATTAACTATGAAATGGAACTAACAGGCTTCTATTCCCTTCGGTCTCAGTCAAGAGTTACAGAGCAGCTAGGGCTGGAAGGGACTTTAAAGACCACCCAGTTTAGGTACTTTGTGTCGCTACACTGTAATCCAGGGAAGAACATTCAGCTTGGTTTCAGCATCATGCAGAAACCCAACCTGCTTCCACTTTGAAGGCATTTTTCCTTTAAGATGTCTCCAGCAGAGGATGTTGTTGGAGCACAGGCTGCCAGGATTCAGTCCTGGATAGAGCTGCTGGAAGCCAACTCACTTAGGTCTGTATTTTGATAACAGCAGAGAGTCAACAAATTAACTTGGACTAGACCACACTGTAACACATTGACTACAGACAATCACATCAGAAAAATAAGGATAATTTTCTTTCTTCCAGTAAGCAAGGCAGAATCATGTGAATTTCTAAGTTAGAATAAGGGCAACAGATAAGCTTGCCTAAGTCAGTAACACTTCCTTTCAGCAATTAAAGCAAAGCTATAAATAAAAGCTCATAAAAGCAACAAAATAATTATGGTACTGAGGCTCAAGTGGATGGAGGTTGCATATGGAGTGGAGAGCACTCTTTACATTAAAGAAGAGCAATCAGACACAATAAATAATAAACTTTATTTGGATATCCTTACTGGCATTATACTACTGCAGGAATAAAAGGGATACTTGCCAAAAAAAAAAAAAAGACTCAGCTTTTTAAAGAGTCTTTCCAAATGTACTTCATACAGCTTTGGGTCAATGATGTTTTCCAATTTGCTTCTGTGCAACATACCTAAATTGCTCAAAGGAATACATTTCTACTATACAATTACTGAAACTCTGTGCTGTTGAATCTGGCAAGACGAAAAAAATTAACATAAATATATTACCAAGATACATATGGGGAATTTTTAAACTTGCTTCAAAGCTTTGTATCACCAACCTCCAGTTTATTTTGTGACAGAGTAGATAACCAACCATCTGTTTTAATGTGGCAATTCCAATGTTTCATAGAATTCCTTAGCATTACTCCCCCGAAATATTTTCTTCCAGGATCCCGGGTTTTGCAAGATTTTTACATGGGTAATGTAAACCTAAACTCTTAGAACACAAGGACAAGTATACTTAAATTTTACTTTAATATACAATTGCATTGCAGCAGTAGCATGTGGCACACAGCACTCAGCCTGTAGTGCTATAAATGGATGACTTCTTAGGGGAGGGGGAAAAAAAGATGCCATCATGTTAACATGCATTTTTCAGAATTTTCATTTGCATTTTTAACCCCTTTGAGACCAGTCAAATGATACACTTCCAATGGAAGTACGTCGCACATAAAAATAGCCAAAAGGCTTATTAGTCTAGTGGGGTTAATCAGGTTAGTTAGGTCTCATGTGCCTTGAAGAGACCCTGGTAAGACTGGTGAACACTGCCCTTCTGCCATGAACTCTCATTGTACTGCTGCCTGCAGCAGCTGCTCTCTCATTCTGGGGTCACAGAAGAAGCGGAGTTTGCGGGGTAAGAGCTTCACCTCCACAGGCATAGCTTCATACTCCTCATTATCAATGCCAAAGGATCCCTCAGTGCCCTGTGTGCAGTGACAGTTAAACATTAAACGTTACTTCAGCAAGGCTGTAATGCTGATTTTACTAATAAAACACAGTTGCATACTTAGCTCAGTCTCAACCAAGATGACCCCCTGCCTCTGCCTTCCAGCCCATTTTCTCTCCACGACACAGGGAGACCTATCCTTCACCGCACAGAATGTATTAAGAGTCTGGTGCAAGAGATGTTACCTCACTTAGTTACTAATTAGTGATAATTAAATGCTAGGAAGCTCTAATGACCCACATTGTTTATACTGAAGGATTCTTTTCTATTGGAACTACAATTATGTGCACTTAGATCTTGGGTCTGCCAGTGGTGACATAAACTAATCTGCAGAAATGCCTGTTAAGTAACTTCTATTAAATCCATGTCATAAACCCCTTTCAGCATTGTTTTACTGTATTGATCTGAAACATGAGATGAAAAGTAATTTACTGGCCAGGAATTACTCAGCAGTAGAATTTTCTCAAGTGTTTAATGCTGATAAAGTCACCATGTGATTAAAACCATTCATCAAAATGGCAGGCTGACTTTACCTAAAAACAACTTCAGTGACTGCTTTGGGTGCCCTTGACTCACCGGAGGGCTGTGCTACATGGGTACTCAAACCAGCTCCGAGGAAACTGGGACACCAGAGCAGCACAGACTAGAGGAACCAGTACAAGTTCTGGCAGTCAGACATACAGCAAAGCAGTCCACCTCCATCAACATCAACTGGTGAGACTCATCTGGGCTGCCTCCAGTTCCTTCACTGGAGCTGGGCCATGGAGTTGAACTGCTCTGTACCATGCACCCATGTTCTGAAGATCTTAGCAGCAGCTGCAGTATGAACAGCTTATTTTATACCACAACCCTTACTTAAGCTGTACTTAGCCCAGCACTGCAGAGTATTCTTTCAGAATCACAAATTTATTACAACCTGAATTCAGTGGAAGCATTAGGATGCTGGTTAATCATGACATCATAATTCATGATTTTTATTTGGTAGCAACAGATTTTTTTGCCTTTCAACACATTCTTTATCCCTTAATATGGAATTATTTTGCCAAATGATAGATCACTTGAAAACAGAAATTATCTAGGAGATTGATTTAATGTCCTTGTAAAAACAAAAAACTGTCTTCCCAGGGCCACAATAACAGCTCACAGGCAGGAAAAGATGAATCTAAATCACACAGGCAGGCACAGTCTTCTTTCTCAGCTTCATCATTTCAAAGTTTTGGGTCACTTCTTTATACTGATCTCAGCTCCCCTGCCCTGCCTTACCCTCCTTTCTCTCTAATATTTATCTTCTTCTCTACAGCACAATGCCTTCTAGGGCAAAATGTACACATCTTCAGTGCTAAGGAAAAGAAGATCTGCATATCACAGCATTACAGAATGTTTGAATCAACAGTAGATCATCCAACCTCCCTGGAGGAGTCCAACCTCCCTGTTGAACAGTGGAGTCCAACCTCGCTGTTCAAGCAGGGTCAGCCCAGAGCACATTGCACAGGACTGTGTCCAGATGATACTAAGTATCTCCAGTGAGGGAGACTTCACAACCTCTCTGTGCAGTCTGTTTCAGTGCCTGTTTATCTTCATAGTAAAGAATTTCTTCCCAGTGTTCAGGTGGAACTTCCATTCGTATGCAATACACTCAAGAGACCCTTTAACCACCACAACTGTCTTCATAAAATATCTGCCACTATTTCGTGGCAGAACAAAGTCCCCCATCAGGTTTACAGATTACCTGGGGAACTTCAGTATGTCTGTCCTGACAGGGGACTCATTGGCTGCACTGTGGAGCTGAGTGTCTCACTTGCCGTGTAATCAATCTCCCAGATTTAAAGTAGGAATTTCTTAAAGTGCAGCATCAACAGGTACAAGAAACAAAGTGAAAGACTTTTTCAGCTCTCTCAGCTTCTCACCTCTGGAAGTTGCAAGATGCATCTGCTGGCTTGGATGCACTGACTCCCTTCAGGACACATGTGTGGGTCATGCATCTTTTGACTTCTGTCCAAACCAAAAGAGAGGTAAGGTAAGGACATGCTTCTCTCAGAAACAGCCTTCTTCAGGAATGGCATTTTGTTGTGGTAAATCACTATGCATTTGATAAACTTAGAGGTTATATACACAAATACTTGTGGATTTAACTGGGAAAAAGTAAAAAAGTCCTTCCCTCTTCTGCTGCAGACAATGCAAATCATAATGTACCAACAGCCTCCAACGAGCTTCTGCTCTGAGGCTCACTAATTATATTTGAACAATGAGCAGAGTTTTGTGCTCTTCACTTCCATGCTGAACTGGGAACTTCCTGCAGTGACTACCATCTCCTCATATCTCATGCAACTAAACTTACCAGCAACCTAAAAAATCTAAGCCAAAAAAAACCAGAATTATAGTTACATTGAACCATTAAATTACTACCTAAAAACAAACAAAACCCCCACATTTTTCATATCAAAACCAATCAGCATGACATTTCTTATCAGCTGCTTCTGTTATTACTCATGAAGAAACCCCCATCATTTCATCCATTCCAAATAACATATCCAGTTTTGACAGTTTCTCTCTTCTGGTACCTGTGAGATTCTTATTTATGTACTGTACTTAGATAAGTGCTGCTTCCTTTCCTACTTCTGCTGATGACAAAAGGGACCGCATGGAATGCAGTTTCCTGTCAGGGAAAGCTGGTGTTGCAAGTGCCACGTGGTCTTTTTCAAGGCTTAGGCTGCTGTCCTGTCACTGTCTCAGCTGTTAGAGAACAGCAAGTTGTGATTCCTTTTCTCCACAAGTGCTGCTGCAGAGTGAGCACAAGCTCTGGGCTGTGCTGACCTTCCTCTGGCCTCCTGACTGACTACACATGTAACCTTTGACTGACCCCTGGCAAAGGGTACGCTGCACCCCAGGCAGCAACCTTTCAGTGTGGGCCCCTCTCCAGACAGACAGCAACACACAAATAGCAAAGAGAACAGCACAGAATTACTGTGTTAATACACCACAACTCTCAAGCATGGTGGAATTATCACAGATATTTCTCTGACAGGCAATGCCTACTGTCCCCAAATTTCCATCTCTAGACTGATATGAAAGAAAGGTGTATTTAAATATTGCCTAGGAAAAGAACTCACAAAAGTCATGTCAGAATCTCCCTGTACACCAAATCTTCTATGCCCTGAGGAAGGCAGCGCCTCTTAAGTCACAGAAAATCCCAGAGAAGGAACATGAGAAGAGAGGGTTGAAACAGGAGATGAGAATCAAAGACAAAGGAAGAAAAGCTAAGGAAAGGACAGGGAAGGACGGAAGCAATATTAACTGTGGAAACTTTGGTTTTAATCAAATATGTATACACTAAAAGATTGATGAGTGATTGTGAGGGAATTAAACATCCTCCAGCAATATAAATTATAAATCATTGATGGCATGCAATACTATCAGTTTATACAGTGCTGTACAAACAAGCAGCAAAATTCCTCACTTAAAGTTTAACCTGCTTGGAGTTTATCATACAAGGCATACTCTGGTGAGCAAGCAGATTTTTTTGGCCAATGAAGACACATGAAGCTCTATAGAGATGTAATTGTGGGGTCAAGGTAAACTCAAAAGAGCCAAGACATGGAATTAAAGATCAATCAAAGGAGAACACTGGTAGAAGCAAACAAGACACAACTTCACCTGCAGTGATTGCCCCTCTAGTGGTCCAGCAGAAAAAAAAAAATCATAATTCATTTCCCTTAGACTCTGGTCCTCACTCAAGACCAGACAGCAATGTGAAATAGGAACAAGATCAGAAGTCTAACAGCAAGTTTCCATTGATTGTTGCATCCCACTCTATTTTGAACCACAAAAATACAGGCAGAGAGAGAACCACAACACCTACTGCACGTAACACACAACTGGAACATCATTTTCATATCCAGAAGCTGCCAGTGTTAAATGATTCAGAGTAAGACCTCTAATAAAAAAACCCCAGTTTTGTGCACTGTGGATGATAAACTGCAATCGTGCCCTGGAGTGACAACTCTCCATATTTTCATATACAGAATCTAAATTGGCTACCAGGATGTGGATTACTAATGCCACACTTTCCATGCCTACTCTCCTTCCCTGCAGCACTTCTTAGTAACCACTCCATTGGACACAACTGTTCTTCCCCCACCGTATCAAAACATCAGCTCTATGGCTGCTGTGGATGCTCTTGTTCACACAGATCTGATCCACAGCCAGAGGCACTTTTATACATCCAGGATAATCTCTTCCTTTCTTGGAAATCAAACAGCAGCTGCCCTCCAGCACACTGATGCATCCCCACAATCCCCAAGACACACACACTGCCTGAGCCTCCATGGTAGTTTCCTGCTGGATGTATGGTTTTCTCTGTGTGACCCATCAGTTCTCATCAGCTCATGTCAGTGCCCTCTCCAATATAAAAACCCCTTGTTAATTGAACTGATAAAGTATTTCCTCTAAAAACCTTTTTCAACCCCCCAAATTCTGGTATTTAAACTATGCACTAAAACAGAAGAAAAAAGAAAGAGCTGTTTCACACATTTCCAAAGACAAACCCTGTTGGTGCTAGGCAATGGGGGGCCTCTGATAATGGGCTTAACTCAAATCCAGCTGGCAAAGGCACAGTGGGACCTCTGAACATCCTGATTCTGCCTTGAAAAAACAGGGCACCTTTTCTCTGCTCTGACTCCTTTCTGTACAACTAACCATCCCCTCCCACTGCTCCCCCACCCCCCACACTTCTTTGTCTTTGTTACCTACAGGCTTTTTGGCACTATTTAATCAAAAGAGCTTGTTTCTCTGAACTTTGCTTGAACAGCTCAAAGCTTTCAGTACTGCCTCTAATTAGCTCTCAACAGCAGGGCTGTGGTAATGCTCCTCAGAGGCTTTTTCTGCATGACACTGTAACTGCAGTCAGAAAATGTGCCACACTACTGCAGGAAGACATCCAGTCAACACAGGAGGTATTGTTTACACTGGGAATACACTTGAATATGCCTCCCTCGAGTCACACAAACTCATCTACATTTTTCTGCCAGCAAAATGTTTGAGAACCCAGAATAACATCTCCTTTACAAGATCAGATTCCTCTTGCATCTAATAGGAAAACTGCCTCCTCCTTTCCTTCTGTAGCCTTCAAAGCAAACAAATCAGTCCCAAGCAACAACAGTCCACATGCTCATACAATTTGAAAGCAGCTGCAGGTGGTAACCTGACTTACAGTGTATGCATAGGTCAGAAGATTCTATTCCCACTGAGGCTCCTGGGAGGCTCAAATAAGGGGCCTGAGTTGCCATTAGTACCACAAACAAGTATCTTGCAGGAATTATTAGGGTGATGACAAGCAGGTAAAACTGCACTGAAATCCTCACACTGATTTCACTAGAGGGAGCTCGAAGACTGAGAAAACAGCAAATTAATAAAAGGTAATATGGAGAGGAGCTCCACTGGATTTAGCAGGAAAATCTGTTGCTGGTAAAACCTGTACTGAAGACGCAATGTATTTGTGAGTGGACTGTAAGAAGGAGCTGGAAAAGGCAGCTCTGATTTGCTTCTTGTAAGAGCAGGAGGAACAAGCACACTACAAGGCAACATCACAAGCACAAAGAAAGCAGTAACGTTCACTTTCTCCACACACTGCTTCTTCACACCTGCAGCCTTTCTTATTCCACATACAAGCAGGACGAATACATTTGTTTAAAGTCCCTGTTTAAATTCACATCTTCCAAAGTTCTTCCAGCTCAGACCTAATTTCTCACAAGAGCTATTGAGGCAAAGAAGAGGCCCTCTTAGAGGAGGGCCTGTCTCATCACAGTTCAAGAATTCCCAGATACCACTAGTACAAACAAACCAGCTCTGTGACCCACCTCTCAATCCATTGAGCAGCTAGGCCTAAAAGATTCTGGGCTAAATCTGCACAGATGCCTATAAAACTCAGTAAGGACAGTAATATCCAAGCAGTACTGACTTACAGCAACAGGGGAAAAGACGAAAGGTATAGGAAACTCAGAAGCTATGAAGAACTCCAGGTTCTGAATACTCCAGGTTCTGGATTTCTGCCTTGTTTACAGAAACAGAAGATGAGTAAGAGTTTTAAAGAAAAAAAGTACTAGTCCCCAAGAAGCAGTACTGATTGGTGTGATTTGCAGTCCTCTGCTTCTGAATTTTGCAGCACAGTATGAGAGAAAACCAGCACACTTTTCAGAGATCCTGCCCCCTTTTTGCAGCCTTCCCATACTCACCCTCTGTGAACAAACTCCCCTTTGCTGACACTCTCTGCTTCGATGCAAATGTCCATGAAGTCCTCAGTGCGCTGTGCAAAAAAGGATTCAGAAATCAAGCAGTTAACATTTGAAAATGCCACACCCATGATACTGCAATATGTTCACACAATGGCCAGTCCTTTGTCCCCCAAAAGGAGACAGAAGATGCATTTCTGCATTTCATGCTTTATTCAAATCTCAACTTGAGATTTGAATTAGAAATTACAGACATTATTTTCCCGTTAATGAATATTCAATAAATACCACAAGAATCAAAATAATGAGTCACACGTTTGGCTTCTTGCTACATTTAAAGACAATAGCAGATCTCTTACGCTTACTTATTTATTTCTATTCAATGGGTGTTTCATGAATTTAAGCAATAGTACAATGATACAACATTTGGCCACCAAACACCACAGTAAGAGAATTTTAAACAATACAAATTGGAAATCAAAGTGTCCTTGGTAACAATTCTTTAAACTCCTCACTTAGTTTCTTTCCTATTTACAGCCTGCCCTTAAACTGAGTATACAGTACAGCTTTTTCCAGGAAAGCAATTTTGATTAAGATGCAACTTATATTTTATGTTTTTTAATATTTTTGTCGTGGCAAAAGTCGCAGTGTGCAGATGCAATCAAAATGACAAAAGTAAAAATAAATGCATCTATTAGTGGAACTTGGTTTAGTCCTTTGCTGTTCTGCAGAGGCACTGCGTGAGCTGCACCTGTATGGCTTTATCAGCTTCCTTCAATGGGGCAGCCTCTGCATGAATCTGAGGTGAGACACAGAGACAGGAGTGACTGGCAGCAGTCAGCAGATATGGCCTGGTATTGATTCCAGAGAGCTGCTGGTCAGCTTTGAGGACTACAGGGACAATGGTTTCAAGAGAAGGACTTAAATGCAGTAAAAGGGATCCACACGTTTAGAAAAAGAGATGCAGTATCAAGATATTTCCAGCTCTAGGAACAGGAAAGTACAACTGGTCTAACATGAACTTGTCCATTTCTCTAGGTTATGCAAGAGCCCTGAGAACCCTACATCACTTCCTTCTTTTCAAAACCAATATTAAAGTACATCTTGAACCACAGAAAGCGCATAAGGGAGTTTGTGGCAATCTGATACTTTTTCTGCTCTTGGTAGGTCTGTTTTTACTTTACATCACTGGCTCCCATCCAGTTCAACAACCAAAACTCTTCTGTTCAAGTGCCACCTAGAAACCACTAAAAAAAATACCCAAATACTAGTCTCTGTCTAGCTTCTACCATTACTAGGACACTGACAGTCCATATCATAACCCACAATGAAGAAGAAACTAAAGTTCATGGTGGTATATTCTAAGGAGAAACCAGGAGAACATTAAAAAAAGTAAATTTGCTTGTTTGGTTTCTTTTGGTCTGATCCTACAATGATAATGTATCAATATAACACACATAACATTTTCATGTTCTTAAAGACCCGGATTCTAAGGAAGAAATATATTGCAGAAAGTTCAACACCTCCTGTTAACCTGGGTATAGTGGCAAGGGTTTCCTGTACCCACGAAGAGGAAATGCAGGGAAGCTCACGAGTATAGGATCACTGTGTAAGCATTTTCCTGTAAAATTAAAGACTGACATCTATCCAAATAGCATTCACAGCAGTAAAATTGCACCAAAACACAGGCATAAGCCAAAGAGAGGTTCTAAAACAGTGAATGAACAGCATGAACATGCTGAGAAGGTTATGACAGGAACAGTTCCTTTGATGCCTTGCTTCTATCCTTTCAATCACCTGCACTTCCTTTCCTTCAAATCAGTGTAGCCCCTGTCCTTTCCCTAGTACCAATTATTTTTAACTCCACTCTGCAAGTCTAAAAAAGAGAGACAAAAAAAAAAATCCAGCCAGACACTCAGGCTCAGCTTCCTTTTAGCAGAAGTTCAAAAAAGAGACTCTCACATAGGGAAAGGAATGCTTCTTGGTCCTTTTTTTACTCATGGGAAATCCTAAAACTTCTGTTTGGCTACTGAAGCCTTGTACAAATTCTTTCTGATCCCACTGCATCCCAGTTTTACATTGGTCTCCTGTGCTTTCATACTGGATCTGAAACTTGCCCATTCCTGGATTCAATCATGGACCTCTTCTTCCAAGAAATAGTAAATTTTATTCATATAGAGCCAAGAATAGGAGTTTAGCAAGACAGGAAAACTCTGTGGGCAGGCAGCATTTGGAATCCAATTATGTTATGGTCTTACTGCTAGATCAAGCTGCCTGTTCCGAGTTGCAATGGAAAGCTCAATGGTGGACAGCTTCAGTTCTTCCCAGTCCTCTCGGGCTACCTCCTGGGGGAACTCTGCGCAACAGGAAGAGAAGGTACCAGTCATTAAATGGAATTTAATTACACAGATCACTATGAAGCAGATGCCAGACACAAAAATCAGTCTGAGCCATTCTGGCCACTAGTTTTGTTTCTCAAGATGTCAAAATCTTAAAAAAATTAAGAGGGAGCTTAGGAGTACCGAAGAAAAGAAAAAATACCATCAGTATTTACACAGTACCAGAAAAGACTGTCAAGCACAGTACATCACAGCCACATGAGTCCTTATGTCCAGGGATTAACAGATCTCCTGGGCTAGTGGCAAGAACATTGAGAAAACCCATGAAATACTAATACCAAAAAACCAGGAATCTGATGTTCAAGAGGCTGTGGTAACACATTTTCTACAGGAGGCAGCTCCACAGTTCAGTTCTCATATCCAGGTCACTTGGTTCATGTTCATGCATGAATTACCTCTGCTAGCCAAGGAGGAACAAGGTCTTAGCAGCAGGCTGTGCAAAATACCCACTCTCCTTCCTCCTGCGGCCTGCCACGTGCACTGTCCAGACAACAGCCCAACCCAAGAGAGGCTCAGAGAACACAAAGTTTATGGTACAGAAAGAATTTAACATACTAAGAGAAATTTAGGCCTGGCCCAAATGGTACTGTTCTATTTAAAGTCACATTTGTTGCTCTGTGTTAGCAACTCTCCCCACCCTGGAAAAACAAGGGCTGCTCCTCTCTGCCCAGCTCACTAAGAAGCCATTCTGCTGGTTCACCCAGAAGTGCCAAGTATCCTCAGTGCATACCTCCACTGCAAAGGCAACTGTGAGTCCAGGGAACACCCTGGGTTCTCTACAAGTGAGTATTTGCTTATGAGACCACAAACACAGGCAGGACTACTCTGTTCCATTTCTGACAGATGTCACTACAACCGTCTTGACAAAAATCACAGTTTAAATAAATTTTAAAAGGAAACAAGAAAAAACCAAAACAGTAACAGAACAGAGCAGTGAAGTAGACATGCTCTCCACACAACACACCCCCAGATCTGTTAGAGGAGTAGAGTCTTCATGTGAGTTTATGCCAGAACACATCCAGCCCACCTTTTGGAGATGACCAGTACGATCGAAGTCGTCTGTAAAGCCTCACATACAAAGGAGGTCTGGATGATTTCTCCTCTGGCTCTTCTGGAGGTCTCTCAGTTGGACCCAGGTACATGAGAACAGCTTGATGTTTCTGAGGCCACTCCTTGGATTTACATGGAAAGAGAAGACAGAACATAAAGGGCATTTTGTTTAGGGCATTTCCTGTTTATTCTGTTTAGACCCCCCACTACCTCAGCCTACATTATGGCTCTCCAGTCTCCAGGTTCATTAGTGAGATGACATTTCTGTAGTTTCAAAAAGATTATCCACAGTTCCCAAATCCACTATTCTAATCCATTCCTGCACAGAAGTGAGGGCATTTTCCCCTCTACGAACAGAGAGTGAAGGGATGTTTCCTTTGTTGCTGATGTGTGGCAGGGTGACACAGCTGCTTCTGGCTGGAGGGAACAATCCAAACCAGCCAGGTCAACAGTAATGTCTGAAAGCACAGTTGGTTTCTGCATGGCAAAAAAGCAACCTCAAAGAGCAACTGCTCAGCAGGATCCAGTGCAAACAGACAAAGACTACAGTGCTGTGTGCAGCCAAGGGGCACTAAAACCTGACAGGCCTTTGTTCTCCAGCAACTCAAACAATCCAGACCTGACCTGATAGTCAGGTGCTTCTAAACAGCAAAAGAACAGCTCTTAAGGGAAGTCATGTGAGCTTTATAAAGCATTAAAAATAATAAAAAGGAAAGTACTAACACATTATTCTTGGTGATATTTCAGATTCCAGTAGCAGGGCTACAGAAGAACCTTAGCTTTTGAAGTATCTCCAGATGCTGACAAAGTTTACTTCCTGTCAATGTTTTGAAAGTAATTTCAGAAATGCTCCAAACGTAGGACTTATGGGAGGGAATAATTTAATTGGTTTTTAAATTTATATACTAAAACAACACAGCCAAAAGCTCACATGAACTCAGTAGAATTATTTTTCTATGTACAAAACTTCAGAAGTAGTTTTGGATCATATAGCACAGATTGTTAAACTAATTCACCTCACACCTCTGAGAGCAAGGAAAGACTCCACTCTCATACTTACATAATAAGCAGGACAAACAGAGGTTGTATCAGTAGGGCAGTACACAAACAATAAATATTAATGATTAAATGGAAAAGCAGCAATGCTCTGATAATTTAAGCCTGTGTATTCTAGAAGAGATGATAACACTCATAACAATGCCCCTACCAATATCAGAGGTGCTATTTCCAATTACACTTTTTTTTCAGCTACAGGTCATCCTGTTTCAAGAGACAACCCCAGTAAAACCAGAAAATAATGAAGTGTGGAGCAGCAAACACAAGCCAGGAAGAGATTAAACTCAACAGGCTGGAGACACTTCTTGTAGAAATTAAAAAAATGATAGCATAAGAGTCACATACAGCAATGTGAATATCACAATTAGGTGAGATCAGGTAGAAAGTTTTCTATCTAAATGGCTGAAGAAGCGGACACTTCTCTTTAACCTTCAGCAGGTTAACCAGATCTTTTTAATGTACAATTAATAGCTCACCAGAGAAATCCACCCCTAGCTGAGCCTAAGGACTCAAAGGAAGTGAGAAAGGAGGTGGACAGAAAAGAATAGGTTTCTACTTAGAATGCCAGAACACAGAAGCATAATCTCAAATTTTCTATGGATGGGGTTCAGGGGGAAACCCATCTCAACTTTTCTGGATACATTACTATTAAACCCCCATTACAGGAGATGCCTATAAAGGAAGCATTGGCATTGTAACAGACAGCATGGCTAGACTGCACTATTTGATCTACTCCAGGGCATCAGCTCCAGGGCATTTTCACTGCCTTTCAGGAGGTTCCTTATATGTTGAGAGAAAAGTAAAACCACGTGAATGAAAATGCCTTACCTTTAATGCAGGTCAAATTTTAATCTTTCCAGGATCAATTTTAAGCAACAGGCGAGATAAAAGCTATTCATTTCCATGTTCATTTTACTACACAAGGAAGCCTGATTATCAATGTGCATGAGCGGTCTAATTATAGACCCTTCTGCCAGATGAATAAATCAGACTGAAATGTTATTACAAAGAGTGTTGAGAAAATGTGGCTGAGCTCTTTAGCAGTTCACCACTGCTGCTCACCAGTTTCACAGAGGGTTACTGGCTTCCCCTGGTGATCCTGCAGAAAAAATTCTTTAAAAAATTTTAGAAGTATTTCTCTTCCCCTTCCTCTCTTCAGAAGTAAATCTATCAATTGGTAGGCTTTCTAACAAGTTGAGTTTTAGTCCCATTTTATATTGTTATCAGAATCCTTCACAAAAGCTCACAGACAAATTATACAAAGCAAAGTCAGCCTGCTCATTTCTGAAACAAAAACACTTTCCTTACAATTAATATTTACCTTAAATGTACTGAAAAAATGAGCTGCTTTGGTTTTCAGAGGCCCAAGGTACCAGTACCTGGAAAAAGAACAGAAATAGAACTTCTAAGATATCCAGGGGTCAATACTGGGAAAGGGGAAAACTTTGCATGAAATCAGAGCACACAGACTTGTTTGCCACTGAATTAGTGCTCCCTGACACTTTAGCTTTTTGATACGGTAAGATAGTTTCTAGACATCACCAGCAGTCTAGAAGTGACATCCCTATCCTGAGTTACACATCACCAAAACGCAGCGTACAATCTTCACTACGGGCAGCAGGACATCCCACTATCAGAATTTTACTTTGTTTTATGAGACAACTGGGGATGATTCAAAGGTCTGTGGTCTAACAGCTGGTGGTGTGCATCTCCACAATATGCAATACAGCATATTTCCAAAGCTTGGAGGAAACAAACAGAAAACCAAACGCTTCAGTGACAAAAGAACCAGCAAACATTCATTAGTCCCAAAGGATTCTCACATCGAAATCAGAGTTTTACAAAATAAAAATCCTGCCAGCCACACAGCACTGTATAGAATCTAAAGATGTGACTGTATTTAGGTAGGCTTGGCACACATTTTGATCAGTGTCTTTCACCAAAGAGGGTCAACAAAGCACATTGAACAGCATTAGCTCAAGAGTCCTGCAGATGTAAGGATCTCATTAACCATTAAGGCATGCAAATGTGCCACCACTCCCCTTAAGCCATGAAATGGTTTGTAAAATAGTAACATAAGACAGCACCAGGTCTCCAGCAGCACAGTCCTTAGTAGAGCAATAGCCAGACACACTTCTGGAACTGTGTCTTATGGCTTAACTCCCTTTGAGTTATTTTCAGTTTAAGATCAGCTGCACTGGAACACACCAAATGTCTTTAGTCCAATAACCCATCTCTCAGGGGCAGCAGAAGTGGATGAAGTGGGAAAGTATAAAAACAGGACAAGCACACGAGGATTTTGTTCCAAGCAGACTCTGAGCACCTGTTCATTTGTTGCTGAAGTGCTTTCCAAGCTGGACGTGTTTCTCTGCATTCAAAAACATTTATGGAAGGAAGCAAGGCTTGATGATGTTCGTGTGCCTCATGTACCAAAGGCGCTGTCATGCCTCCAGCACTGAGCCCAAAGGACTCTTACAAAAGGGAAGCGCTGCAGGGAGAGATGTGAAGGCTGACACCAGGCAAAAACCAGGGCATGGGTGGGAAGCCCAGTAGGAGTGGAGAGAGAAGTGCATTTCTTTGAACTGGGGGCTGCAATTAGCAGGAGAGCCTGCAGCACAGCCAATTCAGCACCTACACAGCCCTCTAAGAATGTCCCTGGCCTCCCAGGGACAAACAACCTGACCATTTACTCCATCTCCCCCACCCCCTCTTAAACCTACTCAAACATTTGCCAGACAAACTCCAGAGGTCTGCCACCTCTTTCTTCCTGACAAAGACAGCTCATTCACAAAGCACATGGTATTTCCTTACAACTTGCATTTCCTCCATAAGAGTTTGGGGAGTCAGCTGCTTTGGCACTGCTGCTCCTTCAGCAGATAATGCCTGTCATTTGATACACAGACACTGACATGATAAGTGTCCACTTGGAGAAAGTCCAGTAATTATGAGTTTAGCATTCAGAAAACAGTCATCAGATAGCACAGTCCATGCAATTTCTGGCACGAACCTGAAGGCATTTCTACTGCATCTGATGTCCCTTGCTGGAATTGAGTTTCAGAGTACACACACAGCTTTTCATTGGCAGATGACAAAAAACAACGGCCAATTACTTTACTTAGACTTTACTCAAGGGAGAGATTTTCCCTGTTACAATCTGAATAAAGTTCCAGAAGCAGATATCACAAGGCAAGAAGAAAGTAAGTACTTAAAACAACAGGTCAGCACCAAATATTTATTTCAAATCACAAGAATTCTGATATATCTTACACTCCCATGTGTGTAATGCAAGATCGAGCAAGAGTGGGGGCCTCTGCCTCTCAGATGCCTACATTCAGAAAAAGACTTACTTGAGAGAGGGGAGTGTGTCTTTTTAGGCAACAGATACTATAAAGGGTACCGTTTCAAAAAACAGTATTTTCTTACTTGCTAACTTTAACTCCTGCATCTCTGTAAGATCCCCATCTTAAACCAGATACTGCAAACACAGGCTGCTCTTTTTCTCCCTGTAAAGAAAAATAAACACTGCAAAAATGCTTTCTCTTACCTTTTTTCCAACTTTATTTTCTGAAGTTGGAAAAACAGCATTGCTACATAAAAACTTCTGTTAAATTTCTACACAGATATTTAACAGAAGTGGTATGACAAAGAGCTAACAACAATAAAGCTTAGCAGAATTTAAGCACTGTAAATTCCATGTGCTCCAGGGAGGAATATAAGAGGTGAAGTTTTGAACAGGTAGCCCGAGTTTGACTGCACACCCAGCAATGGCCATTTCATTTTGTGGATTTGACTGTTAGCCAAAAGCAAGGAGCTCTGCACAGCAATACAAGGCTCTTGCTGCAGAAATGTCCATTCTACAAGTGAACAGAAAAATAATATTCAGAAACCATACGAGGCATACTCAAAGGTTTTCCCATTTTGTATTTTTCCATTTGTCAAAGAAAGCTATTGACTTCACAATCCACAGGAATGCATCAAATCAGCAGACAGCTACTGGTATCTCTCACCATTGCTACAGAAACACCACTGTAGTAAGTTTTCATTGTATTCATCAATGCTCTCTGAGTCTCAAAGAAAAGCAATGTTGAAGCATTCTAGTGTTTTCTTCTGTTTAGATTGTCTGATGCCATAGCACATGGTGAGAAATGACTGCCAGCAGAACTGCTGATATCATAAACTAAAATGCGTAACAGCAAAACACAGAGGAAAACCAGTTCATGCAAACATAAAAATATCAGAATAGGAAAGTTTTAGGAATGTTGGTTTCCAAATAAGTAGATGCGTTCACCTTGATCTGCAAGACATCAAGTGGAACTGTCTCTCCTTTCAAAATGGCCAATGTAGCATTAGTAATATGCCTGCAAAACAAACAGGAAAAAAAGGAAAAAAAACAGAAAGAAAGGAAATGAGTAAACTTTAAAATTGCTTTTTTTTTTTTTTTTCCCCAGCAAATTCCACTATGAGTTCAGGTAAGGCTTTTTTTCAGCAAAAGTAAAAACCCCAGGGAAACATGCTGCACTTAACTGAAATCAGAAAGCAAAACGTGTGGTTGCAACACATGACAAAACCTAACAAACAGCAAAATACAGAAAACAGTGAAAGGAAATTATCAGCCTAAGCTTTTGAGATATTCCTCCTTTTTGAGCTAATCTAGGAGGTCAGAGGCCAACTGTGTTACCTCCTCTTTCAGATACTTAACACACTAAGGACCCAAATCATAATTCTTTTAGAATACCACTTCTTTAGTGGTAGCAAGTATTACAGCCTGGGAGAGAATGGGACAGCATGACTGGTCTCAACTCACGTGTCTGAGATTGAGCTGCATTAGTATGTGCTAATTTATTTTGAAGTTTTTAATCAACGTAAATCCACCTGTCAGCAGTGCCCATATTGTTTAGGTCTCCATTAAGCTGTGGACTGCAGCCAGGGCACTTTTGTCAGTTCAAGCTGTAAAGATTTTGTAACCAAAGTGTCTGAGTCCACTAAATAGCCTATGTTCAAACCTTAAAGTATATACTTGATTGAAACCCCTTCTTTGTTTTCAAAGTTGGGTAATATTTAGTTTCCACATGGCATACATTTCCAGTGTCTCAGCTGGGCAAGGAAAAAATGCAGTTTTCATATCCAGCCCAATATTCATATGAATCAGTGGGAGAAACTACCCTTGGTTTCATCAGGATTACAATACTGAGACAGATAAGGAAGCAGTTCTTCCCACAGCCCATCTTCTCTCCCAGCTCTTATCTTTCTCTAAGACCCTCACAGTTCCTACACTCCTAAGAGAGTGCTGAAGGAACCAAAGCCCAAACATTTCTTCGAAAAATATCACTTCTGCCCTTCTTAACTCAGGGTCTGTCACTGGTGCGGGTTGTTAAGCAGCCTATTGACCAAATTATCTTCAACTTCTCCAGGGTGCTGCAGTCCCACCTGCACAGTTCATTACCCTGGCACAAGAAGATCATCCATTTCAAACAGCTTCTTCAGAATCCAAACATAAATTATTACTTTAATCTTAGCTGCTGATTACAGCCTTGTCCACCTTCCTGAGCTTCAAAGCACTCTGGTAGTTTTAAGGAAGGATGTTATGCCAGTTGACTCGTGGGTTTTACGTATGATGGATACCAGCAAGGGTTCCACAAAGAACAACATTAATGAGTTACTGGGAGAGTGAGAGTGAAAAGATTTCAGGATCAAGAAGAAATATATTTATTATTATGAGAGGAGAGGAAGGGAAAAATTGAAAAGAAATGAAGTGTGGGGAAAAGAAAGACTGACTCCCTGTTCTCCTTATAAGTGGACAAAACAATCCTGCAGCAAATTGAACTGCAGTCAACAGATAGCACCAGACTGGATCATATTGAAAATGCTGAAGAATTGGGTTGTTGGATTACTGCCAGCATCAGTCCCACCATAGGGAAAAGTCAGTCCTGACCTGCAAAAGTCAGTAATGTGATCCAACCTTTCCCACATTGTTGTATGCCTTACTTTGCAGGTCCTAACCAGGCTATATGCGGACCGGTTTCTAGAGTTCTTAGACTGGAGAAGGGTCAGAAAGAGGACTTATTTTTGGCTTATTTTGTCACATCCTTGCTATATCCTTGTTGTACCCTTTCAGCTATTCCTAACAGGCTGATCCTTTTAATCCCTTTTTCTTTTTAAACTCTGAGCATCACACGATCACAGAGGAATTAGTCACAGCAAATGATTTCTAATAATACATACATTTCTTTCTTTTAATTTTTAGTCAGTTTTTGGAAGTCATTAACTCAGGTAAGTCCAGAGAATCATCAGGCTCTGCCCAGAGACTGCCAACTTCTATGTAACACAGAAGAAGAAGAAAAGAATCAAGCTACCAAGAAGCACTGCTTCTTGAAAACAACCAACCATGTTTCAGAAACATGTCATACTTACTGGACTTGATTCGTGCTCTCAGGGTACAGTGTGTGGCTCAGAGTGCAAGTTTTTCCAAGGGGTATGAATCCTATAGGAATCTTACTGAAGGCAGCCTGGAGACATAAGGAGAGTAAATTAACACTTGCATGAAGCTTCCTGTGTGGAGATCACAGCTGTGTCTGGCATCACCCCTTTGGCACTGAGCACCAGGCACTTCCTCACACAATGACTCAGAACATGGCACCCAAATCTGTGAAGCCACTGCCAACTGGGTACAAAGGAGCTCTCTGTAATCATTAAGAGCATTGTTACATCCATTTTGGCAGCCACATCCCAACTAATTCTGTCAGCAATCTGCCATCTTCCTTAATACTGGTGGTGGCATCACAGGCTCTGAATCCCATTTACCACTGCAGAAATCCCCTCTGACAGAGTAACCTTGCACAGCAAAGAGATTTTCTCACTTAAGGAAGAGAAATTAATTTATTCCTCTGCCATCCAAATCATGAAGCAGCAGAAGGTCTAATTTTTGGAAGTCACTGACCATATTATTTTTCTGTACAGCTGTTCAGCAAAAGGGCTTGTTGAAGGAGCAAGTTACTACCCTGTACCTCATCTCAAACCTTGCTTTTTGAAGTGTGTCAGCAAACCAGTGTAAACTACCCCAGAGCACCACACCCCTCCAGGTGGATGCTGTCAGTAGTACCAGGACACAGCCAATCCACAGCCACCCGGGAATTTCCCTCTCACTGCACACCCAAGCCCTCTCCCCTGCTGTGTCTGTGTCACCTGTGAGTGCCAACACTCTCAAAAACCCTGCTCTCATTTTCTTCAGCACTGCTTTGCAGTGTGCAGATGACAGGCTGTTTGCAGCTCCTGCAGTCAAGCTCTGCTCCCCTGGCTGCTAGGAACAGGGCTTCTGGAATACCTTGCACAGGCTCTTATGCAAGCAACAGTGGTGTGACACCCCCGAGGGAAAAGGGAAGCAGGGCACAGAGAGAGGGAGCTCGAGTGCAGATCTCTCCTCCTAGGACAGAGAGACATGAAGGACAAGAATTCCTTGGCCAAAGACAGGAAGTGACACAGTGGCAATACTACAATGCAGTATTCCACCCATAATGGTGCTGGATGCAGAATTCCCCACACTACTGCAAAACGATCCAAGCCACATCAAGATAAGAAGCCAAAAAAATAAAGAGAAACTAGCCAGTAAAGCCTCTAAACTTTGCTTCCACTATCATCAGATAATAAAAGTCTCAGGATCCAACTATAATAACATTAGATTTAAAACAATGATGTATCAGAATTGAAATAACTAGCCTTCCTTTAAAAATACTGACTTGGTTGCAACTCCCCCTCGTCACATTCACACAAAGCAAATGCCTAAACAGATACAATTCTAGCTGCCAAGGGTATCATCATAATCTTGTCTGGATCATTTAATAGAGTTTTTGCCAGCTCCTGCGAGAAGGTTTTGGGAACAATGATTCCCTCCTTTCTTCAATAACACTGTTCTCCCACTTTAAAAAGATAAATCTATCTCATTTCCATTCAGAGTGATCCACCTTGAGAGGTTAAAATTTGCTTACTGCAGCCATCTGCATAGGTAGGTATGCACTGCTTGAAGAAACAGCAAAGCAATCCCAAAGCAGTAGGAGAGTGACCATAACTGAATTCAGTTTCAAGCCTGAACAAATACAAGAAAAACATGTACTTTTGCCCAATGCTTCTGCCAAACAAAGTGGCATGCACAGCTGGTCCATGGGTCTTTGAAAATTGAGCATTTGGCTTCTCCACAATCCCTGCTCTGACGCTGGAAACTTCCCAAAGCCATGGCTTGGGAGTCACTGCACTCCCTCAGAAAGGGAACAAAGAACAGCAGGCAGCATTGCAGGACAGTAGTCCAGCTGGACTGTTGCACAGAAAGCTGGCTCCAGAGTAGTAAGCAAAGTATTTGCGGGAGGCAGCTCAGGCCAAGAGATCACAGTGGATGCACAAGACACTCCAAGAAATAAAAACAATTTTTAAAATGACACCTTCTCACCTCATCTGCTCTACGGAGAAGTCCAGTTATGACCTGAAAAACATGGGACATGCTCGAAGAATTTTATTTTAAAGTTACAGTAAGAACCTATGAAATTCTTAACCACATTTAATCTTTGAGAAGATTTAAGGAGCAGCTACCCTTTTATGGAAGCTGCTACAGTTGTTTACATGGGAAAGGAGGCATGTTCAGCCCGCAAACATGTTGGAAACAGCAGATTTATGAGTGTGCCTGAGTACATGTTGGTACCACAACCAATGCCAGTGTAAATGTTTTAACATTGAATGATGGTCTGCATAATGCAAAACCAGCACTGGCCAGTGCAATTAACAAAAGGCCAGAATGAACCTACAGATGTATTCTGATGTCTTTCTCTTCATTACATCCATTTAGCCATTGTCTTATGAAATCAGTAGTTAGACATCAGGAACTGCTTGAATAAAATACAGTTTTGAAAAACAGAGTATCCCCCAGTTCTGCTTCTGTCATTAATCATCTTGACAATAGGCATTTATTAAATACGTTCCACGCTTTGTTACCATTCCCACGTAATTTTTAAATTATCTGATTCCCACTAAGCAAAATATGAATTCCTCTTGTGGAGTTTATAGAAAGGAAGGAGCTTTGAAAATCAAACCACTACAACTACATCACACAGAAAGAAAAGGTTTGAATCATGTCCCTTCAAAGAGTTTGCTCATTCTAGAATAAAGTTCTGGAAGACAGCTATGTCACACACTCCTTTTGCCCCCACCCCCATCATGTCTTAACACTAATACCAACAAGCACAGTGTTCTGTCCCCAGAATATTAGAACATCTACTGAAAACACAGATACTAAACTGGACAGATCTCTAGGAACTGTTGTTATGATGCTGCTACATTGCACAGACTCAATCTTCTTGCCCTTGGCCTAACTATGATTCTCAACAAACCAGGCTCCCGCAGTACCTCTTGGACTGTGCCATCTCCTCCTGCAATAATGATCAGATCCGTGTTTTCCATTAATTCCAGAAGCTTTTTTGCTTGTCCCTCATAATCAGTCTGAAGAAACAGAGATCCAAACATGAGCACTCAAATTACTATTTTTAGTATATCTCTTTCATAGAAAAAAGAATCATCTATCTCTCCGGTTTACAGTTATTTTTATATAGGCACACAGTACTGTATATTACTTACATTCAGAGGTTTTTTTCAACTTATAAAACCAGTCTGATGCATAATATAATATGTGCAATAAACACACACACAGAAGTTAAATGAAATATCAGAGAAATCTTATTCAATAGATCTAGAATGTCACAGCAACCATCTAATTTGCAGGTAATATTACAATGAAACAAATCCAGAAGCCAATCACTTGCAGAAAAACTCCCACTATCTTTAACAGCCAAAGTGCTCAAGTGCATCTCCTGAAACACAGCATCAACTACACAAAAGGCCACTGCCTGACAGCCACTGACAACAGATTTAGCAGTAAAGAGTACTGACTTTTTAAACCATTAAAACTGTTTTCTACAAAATTCATGTCTTTTACAGAGCCATCTCAACCTCACTTCCTGGCCCAGCCCTGTTTTGGCAACTTGTCGGGTCTAACACTACCAAGCATCAGTTTTAAGTCTTGCAAAATGATTTCTTCTCATAGGGTGGGACTAGGTATATTTAATGATCAGAGAAAGGGATTAATAAAAACAGCATTTTAATACTAAACCTTGTGGAAAAGATTCCAAGACAGAAAGATGCACATCAGAGTACTTTGCTGTTAGGACACACTGACTATTAAGCAATCCACATATCACAGCCTCAAAAAACCTACAGAAAGATCAGAATCCCTTCAATGTTTCCTTGTTCTTCTCTTTCCAAAGGAGACCTGTTGTTAATTCACACCATTTAGAGCTCAGTGTTCTGCTTTCATGGTGGGAATGTTGAATTATTTGGAGAGAGACAGAAATAATTTCAGTGTAAAGATAAAAGGTTATTTTTAATTAATCTGAACAGTTCAACTGCATGTCAAAATTCCTCACTTTTCAATTCTTTAAGTTCAGGCAAAAATGACAAATTCAACAGCAATGGGCATGCACCACTAGCCAGCACTCAAATATTTAGAGAGTTTTTTTCTCAAACATGTATTATAGAAGGGCTGCTTTAGACAGAAGAACAAGCATATGTACTGCTTTAGCTGAAAATTAAAATCTCACTACACTGTTTGAAAACCAACTGTGAATTAAAAAGATTAGGTATGGGCCTAATATCTCAGTATTTATTTCTTCCTGTAAGACGTCTGCAGGACAAGTGAGAATTTCAAATGCATACAGATTTGAATTTCAATTCTTCAAGAGCAGAAAGAAGAGAGTCAATATTTCTACAGTAACAGGACCTATCAGTTCTTACCTTAACCACAGTTACATCCAAGCCAGATAAGTGCAAGATCGGTGCAGCATTCTTTTCAAAAAGGTTCCCAGCTTTGCTAGAAATAACAGAGTAAAAACTGTTTAATGATGCCTGCGGCTGAAAAAAAAAATTAAAAAGGAAAAAAACAAATGAATAGCAAAAAGAAATCTACTTAAAACCAAGCATTCAATCTCCACAATCAGTCACTCAACCTGACAGTCAGGAAAGATGAGATTTCACGTGGCTCAAATGCATTATGTTTCTAGTCTCATATCTCAGGTGTCAGGGTTTTGTTGCAGCTTTAATAAGTGCACAAGATGCTATCTAACTTTTGCCAAAAATAATTTTAAAAACCCATTAAAACAAATTAAGATCTCCAGAAAGAAATTTATTAGAAAATGAATGACTTACATAGCACTAGCCTTTAGGACCATAAGGAAGGCCCATGTAGGCTTTAAGAAGTATTTTTAAAATTATTTATTACTATATATTATTAAATAAGGTTAGAAACAAAATTCTGACCTTTTTTGTTGTAGGACTGATAATTTCATGCATATCATTGCATAACAAAATATATATCATCAAATTATATCAAATAACAAAATATGTATCAAAAATTATATCATTAACTATAAATTGTTTACAAGTTGAAACATGAGACTTGGTTAATTCCACGCATTTTCCAGACTCATAAAAGCATGAGTCCAAGCACTCTCATGTCAGCTATAATATTCCCCTCATATTGGTAGTAACAACTCTCTGCCCCTCCACAAAATGCAACTATTCCAAAGCTTATTTGATCAGCAGAAATAGACACACATCGCATCCAAGATTATGGTTTTTCTGCTAATGAGGATGTAAAAATAGCAGCCGACCTCTTCCAGGAGTCTTGCTCCAAGTCCGTATTTAGCCTCTCAGTTTGTGGGCACATCCCTTTCAAGGGCAGGTTCCCACAGAAGTAAGATCATTTCTTGCCAACTTCAAGTCTTGAAGCAATCAAGGTCATCTCTTACTTCTATAGTTTTTGAGGATGGAAATATATCACATGCAAAAGTTTGGAAGGAATACATAGGAATTCTACATACGAAGGAATGACAAAGGCAAAACACAGGATTAAAGAAAAAAATGGAAAAAAAATGTTTAGAAATCATTCTTCCACCTCAAGCAACTAATTCTATTTCTCATCCCAATATTTTTGGTGAAATAAAGTTTGGCATAGTTACATAGCACCAGCTTGTCATCAGAGGGAGGCAAAAATGAGCTCAAAAATTTGGCTAGCTTTTATAGTGGACAGCAGAGAAAAATGCAGAGAGAGTGCCTCAAATGAGAGTGCTAGGAAGGGGGAATTTTACCCTTTGCAAGCTGCTGGGTTGAGGAAGACTGTTGCTTTCTTCAGTGGCATAGTGGCAGGCATCAGCTGGTTGCCAAAAGCCTAAGTAAGAGAAAAACAGCAGGGCTCAGTTCATCTTTTAAGCACACTGCTAAAACAGTTCAAAATAATGCATCTCTACAAATGCATTATTGGGCTACAATGGGCTTTCAAGCCTCATGACATTCAAATGTCTTCCATCTTCAGCCATTGTACAGGTCTCTTATTCAAAGGCCTGCATTCTTAGCAGCAGCTCCCATCACTGTCATCACTAAGTACTCTTTAGCTAATTTTTAATTCCGCTACCATTTCATTTTTGTCAACCTCTGGTTTTCTGCAATGGGCAGAAATCCAGGGAGCTCTCCTTGACTCCAAGGTTACTGAATTTTCTTTCCATGTGTAATCCTCATACACCTGCATGCCACCTTCTTTCTGCATTCTTTCCAACTTCTGAACTTAATTCCTCTATCTCTTCTACTCATTTTAGTATTTTCTATGCTTCAGTTTTTGAAGACAGGAAAGATAATTGTAAGAGAATCTGCCTTGACCTATAAGCAAGCCCATTGTTTCTTATACTTTTTTTAAACTAATCTCTCTCTATAAAAATCATTAAATTCCTCTTCAACTATTAATTCAATTCTGAAAAAGTGTCTCAATTTTAAATTCTTTGAGAGTTTCTCCACAAAGCCTCTTACACTTTGGACCTACTTCCAAAGCTGTTCAGCACAGCCCATGAAATGCAAGACTTCCACACGTTACATCCTGCTCTATAAGCTTCTAGAAGGTCACTTAAAGGTAGCCTCACTAACACACCAAATCATACTGGATTTGAACACAAGGAATACAAGGTATTCAGCAATACCATCCAGAAGCCCCACAAAGAGTAGGAACCAAAGACTACTGTGCTGAACATGGCCCAGTCAACTGTTCCTGGCTTTTTTTCCCCTTTCCCTTGGAAGTTAACTCCCTAGCAAGAATTTTTATATTGAAGGAGGTGATACTGTACACAAAGAACAGTACATTTTAGTGGCTGTTAGCTATTTAAACTTATTAGTAATTCCACTTGCAAACTTTGCTCAGGAAACCTCAATTTAAAGAAAGGTACAGCTGACTGTGCTGCTTAAAACATCCAAATTTCTTCTTCAGGAAAGAAAAAGCAGGAGAGAAGTTGCTGAGAGTAAAGAAATCTTCAAAGAAAGTGAAACAAATCAATAGCTCTTAAGCTTTACTCAAAGATCAGCTGGAAAACAGACCAACTTATTATACTACAATTGTTGGGTGGGAATTGGGGAATAGGGGCCCTCTAGCATGTTACAGCTGTTAGAAACAACTAATTTTCTTAGGGGGCACAATATGATGTATTTGCATGCTCCAAACAATCTAGCAAGGCTCTAAACAACCCAACACGGCTCATAAAGATTTTATTAGTAATGACATAATTGCTTCGTTATGTAATATACTTAGACATTTATGTTACATACAGGGGCATTTCTAAAGCAAATGCTGATTTGTCAGACAGGAAATAATGCAATATTTCAAAATATTTTGAAAGAAGTCTTTCAGAGCAGAACATAAGTAAAGACAACTTATAGTCATACCATAAAAGTGGTTATTAAAATATATATATATGAAGATACAATTTAGGTAAGCCAATGCCTTTTTCACTTTCTGGTCACATGCACACTTCCAGGTATTATATTTCTGGACTTCTAAAATGACAACCACTATTCTACATCTTTGAAAATTCCTTTATACAAAGCTTTTACAGTGCTTTATGAATACCAGAAAAGAAACTACATACTTTTACAGAAAACTATCATTGAGTGAATTGTTTGCCAGCTAAACAGCACCTCTTTACACATGCCCAGACTTCAGCAACAAGGTCAATCAGCAAGACTGATCTGCCAAGGAAGACCGAGTCATCTGACACTGACTTATCCCAGAGACTGAGGTGTAAAATGTTAAAAATATGATAAATGGGTTCTTTATTGCAGAAATTTATCTTTCCATAATCTTTTGCCACACCAAGGCTGTCATCATAAACTGGTATTTAAATTCAGACACACACAGCAGAACCTTTGCATGAAGTACTGCTGTCATGGATTCTCTCTCAGGAAGGCACCTCCCTCATCAAATATGATAATGTAACAGGCATAAAAACCTAAAAATCCAATGTAAAAATGGTAAGAACTTCACACACACTTAATTCAAACTAAACTTTTTCTTTGGTGAGTTTGTCTCTATTTTTTTCCGATACTTATATACAGCACTATAAAAGCAAGTAGCATTTTTCAAACAATTTTAGATTGTTGTTATTCTGAAGAACATACCAGACACTTAATGCCTTAATGCAGTACTGCTGAGTGTTTTCAAGCACTATTTGGCAATGACGCGTCAGTGAGAATGGAAATTACAGCAAGAATTGATTACTAGGCTTTCTGGTTCATTCCTTTCTAATGTAGGAGCCTTCTGCAGGACATTTTCTCTGGCTTTAACCGCTAAAATTGCAGGAAGCTTTATTGACAGTGCTTTTGTATTTTCATTTTTAAGAATAAGCCATAATGGAATAGAACCCGTCACTTAATAACTGGATTTAAGAAATGGGAAATTCAGGATTTCCACAACTGAATTGTCTGCTGGTACCAGTCTTTTCCTTAGGACTTACACCTTTTTGACAATACACACAAACCACTTCATCAGCTCCTTTTAAAAAAATTGGTTTAATTTGGTCAGCATGCTTCCAAATACTGAGGTATTAATGGCTATTTTTTGTGATATAAAAAACTTTTATCACTTTGTTATTATGTAGTAAAAATGAATATTGAAAACATAAAGACTCTGAAATTACACGTATGGTTTATGAAAGCAATATTTCAAGGAAAAATTTTCCTTGTTTTTTCATGAGCAGTGAGTTCCCTTACATCTATTCTGGCATGAAGATCCATTGCACAAGACAAGTTGCTGTGAAAATCTTTCAACAGCAGACAGGCTAAAATTGGGATAATTCAGGTGCACAACACTTCCTTATTGAGAAAAACAATTTTCACCATTCTACTCAGGCCCCAGTATGCAATGATGGGAGCAGCGTTACACCCTGCAAAATGTCAAAGATCTATCATGTAGAATAAACTTTATTTGTGGGAGGTAAAAACTCTTAAAATCCTACAGAAGTGATGTCATCCATGGGCAGCAGCACTTACACCTCCAAAAGACTGCTTATTAAGGACAAGATTTGTTTGTTGGAATATTGCAGTATGGGAGTTTGTTGACTGCTGTTTGCCCATGCAGGCCACAAACTAAGAAATGCAACAGTCAGTACCAAAGAGAGTAACTCTCCCCCCTGAACAGAGGCCTCCTTGTCACTGATCAGCAACTAGGCTGTCCCTATTAAGTTCCCAGGAGATGGGTCCCCAAAGAGCTGGGTCAGTCAGTCATCACAGCTGGCATCCCTGATAAAGTCACTCAGTGTCAAACAGACAAGGGCAGGGTCTCTGCAGCTGAGCACTGACACAAAGTGGTTTTTGCTGCTTCTGCCCAGCACACACCCCTCCTGGTGGGGCTGGGATTTCACTCTTATCAACAAATCATCTCCCTGCTAGAAGTTTACAGGCACAGAGAATTGCATGTGCAGCAATGGAGGTCTGGGTAGCTCCAGCAGTGATTAAGATCAAGGATAACGCTGCCCCCCCTGCAGCAGCAGCCAGGACACGCAGGGGGCAGTACCCCTATCCTCCCCTGGGCGTCAAGGGAAAGAACACAGATGATGGCATCATTAGAAGGCTTGACATGTAGGAAAGGCCCATTGGGAAAATCTCAGGAGCCCTGCACAACCAAGATAAGAGGCAGATTTTAATCTAATTTTATTACTTTAAACAGTATTACCTGGGCTTCTTGGCATGCAGCTCTTCGTAGCAGGTTATCACTATCAGGTAAGACAGAAAGAGAGGGGATATTACGTTGTGTAAGTTTAAAACAATTTGCTCGTTTTTAAAATGTAGGTACATACCCTTTTTACACACAGTTTGACAACACTGGAACAGAAAAAACCCCAAAACATTTTAAGGATAAAACACCCCCACTGATGCACACATGCATTTTCTTTTTCTGCATGTGCACACAAGCATTCTTTCTACAGAAAAGAAAAGCAGAAAACAAAGACCAGGTTGCCAAGTGTGCTGAGATTATGTAAGCTCTGGCACACTGCGTAACTGTGATTTATTTGTTAAATTGCTACATAACTGTACTCCAGAGCTCAGGTGTGGGTTTTTTCCAATGTTCTTGCTGCCTGGTGTTTACACTAAAGGTACTTACCATTCTGGCAGTGTAGAAGGGTTCTAGAGAGGACTTTGTGCATTACAACTGTGAACTCTCCATCAGTTTGCAAGCCAAACACACTTTAATGCAGCACCTCCCACTCACCTAGGTCTGAGCATGGCCCAAAGCAGTAACTCAGAAAGGTGGAAAACATTCATCTCATTAAGTGAAGGGTAAAAACAAAAGAGAGATGCTCAGTGTTAGATATGTGACAAATGGTCTGTTCAGAAATACATTTCTGACTTGTCACTGGCAAGGGTATACAGACAGCAAGCACTGGAGACACAGCTACTGAGCGAGGAATGAAAGTCTATTCCTTCCCCAGCCCCAAAAATGCCCTACTTCCCCTTACAGACAAAATGGCAAGTACTGTTCTGCTGTGCCCAGAGTCTTGCCTGTCCTCCAGATACCAACACTCTCCATCCTCCAGCTTGTCCTTGCCTAACACCTGGCAAGACCATGTATTTTTGTCTCAAAATATCACATACAAAAAACCCCACTTACAGTCAGCATACCAAAACAAACACTGTACCGACCAAAAGGATTAAAGGCCAACCAGACAAAAACAGGGGGCTAGGAGAACAGCACACTTCTGCCCCAAGGTGTGGCTCATCAGGCCAAACCCTGCCATGGAAATGGCAGAAAAAAAGGCAAGGCTAAACCCAATTGCCATCTATTTAATTCCATTGGTTTACAGTAGTAATTTGTTTCCACTGGTTATCTGTCACTGGAATTACATAAGCTGCTCTTTTTGGCATCACCAAGAGATGCTGCAGTGCCATGAAACGAGAAGTAGGGTGACTTCAGGTGAGATATAAAATTGGGTTCTGCGAAAATAACTACACTATAAAAGCCAGATTTATTCCTGGCAATAATGAAAAGACAAAGGAAGAGTTCAAGCATGCAAAAAGAAAATATGTGAATAATACCTCATCAGGATAACAAGTAACTGGAATGTCTGCAAAAGAATTCCTCAGAGGCATGCTGTCATATTTGCTCCTTAAAACCAAAGGAGTAGATAATTTGTATTAAGCACCTGCAATATCACTTAGAGGAGCAACAGCCTTGGGTTTGACTGCACTAACATGAAGGAAATGCACCAGTTAAAGTAACTCTGCAAAGGTTGGTGTTCCAGGCTGTGCAACAGCAGTGTCACAGCTAATTCCAGCTCAATCAAGACAGCGTGACAGGCTGAGTCCACACTGTACCACTGAGGGCACAGTGTGGACTCAGCCCTCACACAGGGACATTTTCACCTCCCTCTGTGACTACGTGTGGCCAAAGCAAATAGAAAATTATTGCGATTTCAATACATAAAGCTGAAATATTATGGGATATCAAGGAGCCCCCTCTATCAAATGATGGCTGCACAGTGGATGTCTTTGAGAATTGCTGTCCTAACCTTCTGAACAAATCCCAGCCAAACCCACGTTATCTGTTTACTTGACATTGATGCTATTTTGTTCAGAAGTCAAGCTCTGTCACACTGTCAGCCAGGCTGTTTTCCTGGTGCCCCCAGCTTTATGCTGCAGCGCTAATTGTCTTTAAAATGAATTCCAGCAACATTTCCCAAATACAAGCAGAAAATACTGTGCTCTCTTTCTCAACCTCAAAGATCCTCAAAACAACTGTCAAGGATTCACCTCAGTGAGTTTTACCCATAAAAATTAAGCTTGACAGTTTAGATGTCAACATTTATGCTGATTTTCTCCTGCACTGAAGCACTTAAAGAGACAGAAGAAGCCTATTTTAACACTTACCATTTTAGTGTCAAAGGAAATGTTTAGATTCTGAGACTAGAAGAATCATTCACCATCCAGCAATTTCCAGGTGATTTGTCTCACTTCTCCAGCAGCACAGCACCCAGAATCCCATACCACCCCAACCATACCCATAAGACTTCCACTTAATTCAACTGGGACATTTCAAAGTCATCTGAGTTTGTCAAGGATGTCCCAGATGTGGTATAAAGATGCCAGGTAATAGGAATTTTTTCATTTCCTTAAAATATTATGTCAACACTTAACTAGATTCAAACTCCAGAAAAAACAGTACAAGTCCACTCACAGGGACGCATTTGTAAGAACAGCAGTCCTCCTCCTACATCCAGCTGTTGCATTTACTCACCTCACATGGCTCACCTAAACTACCCCAACTGGCCCTGCAAGTCCTCTGCAGGTCATAACAATCACTAAATAGAGCTAGAAAAAAATGTGAAAACCAGCAAAAAGGTAACTTCTTGAAGTCTTCTGCCTCAGTATGTATTCATTCTCAAAATATGACTGTTCACCAGCTCCCAGAAAAGATGAGACTTTAGTAATAAACATAAGATTTTGTTGATTTTTTTCTACTTTATTTTTTACTATTAGGTAGCAACAAAGCTTTTTCAACAATCCTCAAACATGAGCAGGTGGAGGTGGAGGGAAATTGCTCCACTGCCTTAAAGAATACAAAGAGATTTCTTCTGACTTGCACCATATCCACAGCAAACTAAAAATCAATTTTTATTTCACGTTTCCCCTAAGGTCTTATCTACACAATTTGGCCTTAAAGCCAAACAGACAAGCAGTGTTGCATCTGCTGGCAAACTCAGGACTGTCTTCCTGCTGTGAGAATTAAGCATCACATAGCTTACAGCTGGGCCAACTTGCTTAAGCAGTAAAAAATTGGGAAACGGAGAAGAACAAACAATGGCAGCAGGGTATGGAAGAAAGAGGCTGTCCTAGGCTGAACTCACAGAGAACATTCCCAGCACAGCCTCAAGGCCAGCAGCCACAGCAGTACAGACTCTGTGGAGACCAGAGCAGGCTCACAGCAAAGGATGGAACCAACACAGAAAGGACTCAAGAGTGACTGGGCAGAGCTCCCCACTCCCCAGGCATGCCAGGCTGCCAGCACACAAGGCACAACATCCATATGACCTGCCTGGACAGGACTGCTCTGATTTCTCTGCAACACCCCTAGGGCAGGACAGCTGGCCAGTGCCCCTGTCCTGAACATTTTCAGCTGGAATAGGGCATTAACACTCTCACACATAAGCACAAGATCCACACAATTTAGTATGGATGCTCCTCAAGATGAGGCTGAGTTCTGTGACCAAGAGCCAGCAGCAGCCAAAGTGGAAAGACAGCTCCCATGATCAAAGTCACTCAGGAAAGCAATGAATGCAACAAGAAGAGGACAACAAAGTTGAACTGAAGCTGTCTGAGGCTCTCAGCTGCAGCAAGGGTCTTAGATCCAACCAAAGCAACTCCCCTAAAAGTGATCACACTACAAATGTAAAAAGAAGCTCAGTATCTCATTCCAAAATGGGTTATCAGCATTAAATCTAAGACTATTAAATATACTCAAATATGAAGAAGTCTAAAAACTTTAGTGTCCGCACCTTCAAACAGTTTTGTGAGGAGAAACTTGACCAAAGCTGTGCACACAGGATCAGCCCTCAGGAGCTGTATCAGAACTCCTGAAAAAGATTTTATCTTAGCAGAGAGCTTTTTTGGCTGCTTCTAATACAGCAAGAGCACAGAATCCTCTTTACTGGGTATTAGAATTTACTTCCATCTTGGCCTTGGAAGGGCATGAAAGACAAATCTTAGGTTTCATCAGCTTTACCTAAGACTCAGAATTTATACTCTGTTTTTTTTGACAAAGTTTGGATGAAATAAAGTCAGCTACTCAGGAACTATACGCAGAAAGGTGACAAAGTGAGTTATCAGCTGGCAAACAGAGACTAACATTCAAATTGTAGATAACAGCACCACTCAGGATTACTGGCAGGCAGTCAAAGGCTCAGGTGCTTTGCCAGCACTTTCTACTGAGAATGTCAATACCTTAACATATACAGAGTAAAACTAAGTATGTGATGAGTCCACTGCCTCAGTAGAATATCTAGGGTCTCCATCCTGACATGGTGATGATCACTTATGCAGTGACATCACTGCAACAGTCTGGTCAAATCTGACAATCAGTTCAGCTGATGTTCATCATGCTGGAGATTTCATTTCTGCTGATTTGACAGAGCTAGTAACTCACTGCACCCTCTGGGTATACAAAGAACAGCTGCAGCTCACTTCAGGAAAGGTGACCCAGGACATAAAGTTGAGAAGGGATTCCAAACTTGGTGAAAATTTTAGAACAATCAAATGGTAAAGAACAATCCTTATCTGTAATCACGCTCACCTGTGTTAAGCAGAAGTACGTTACTGTGTATGAGCAGATAGCTGGCAATCTGCATACCCTGCAAGCTTTGATCTAGCTTAATATTAAGTGTCCCTTGTACCTGCAACATGATATGCTACAGATTAAAATGAGCCTAATACATAAATTCATGCAATCCAGGCAACTTCACATTTAGCAACACTGAGTTATTTGAAACTTAACACTGAGTATTTGCTATCCTAAATGCAAGACAGTGGATCTTTAAAGCATATTCTTTTATGAGAACAAAAGGAATTTTAAGATGCATAATGGTTTTGCAAAAACGGCAGTGGGGTTCCAGTTAACAGTAGTTCAATCAGACATAACTCCTACCATTTGATACATGTATAACCTTTGCCACCTCCTGACTGACAACCCTGTGAAGAGGTACCTTCTGCACTATCACATGCTCAGAATAACTGAATGGCAGAAGGGGAAAAAGCACAAGGCTTCCTACTTTAATTCTTCCTGCTCGTCCAATACTCCATACTTTTAAATCAGTCAGCATTTGAAAAAACACCCCCCGAACGGAAAGGCTAAAACACTGATCCAGACAAGAAATGCTGCAGGAAGAAAGTACCAGGACTAAGCAGCTCCTCAACCTTTACAGTTATTGCCATCCACAACCTTTAGACCAATTCAATGATGATCTACCACACTCCATGCCCCTCTTCCCTTTACACCCTAGGGAGCACAAGAGCATCCACACCAGACTCCATAGCACACTCTTCAGGGTGTGCAAGGGGAACTTCCATATCCATTTCCAGGCAGGGAAGAGGCACTGGGAATGAGCCTGGAAAAGGCAACATTCTTCTTGTTCATACAGCGTCCTCCAAAGTCTTCAGGAAGTACTTCAGAGCTCTTCTGTGAGCTTGGAGAGACTGACTACAGAAGAGCTGCCATTTATCTGCAGGACAGATTGTTATTTACAATAGCTCCACTTAATGCAGGCATCATGGCTGCTGCATCAAAAAGAAGAAAGAACCTTGAGAAGTCAAAAAAGCAAATCACTTTCTCCTTGCAAGAGAAATATTTTAGAAAACCCACAAGGACGGAAAGAGGGATGCAGGACGGCAAACAAAAATTTTCTTCGGCTGCAAATAAGTGACCAACATCTCAGCTACTTCCAGGAAGTCAGAGGCCAATCTGAGCCAATGCTGTGCTGAAGCAAGGCCCTTCATCAGGAACTCGTGATGCCAGAAACCAAAGTACAAGACCTCACTGCACTTTAAATGTGTTCTCAAAGGGCAAATATCAGTCTAGTCAGGTATGGCTCATGCACAGCAACTGAGCCTCTGATGGGGATAACAACAAGCCTCAGGGCCAGCCCAGCCCCTAAAGATCCTTCATTAACCTCTCCCAGAGCTGTCTGTGGCCATCTGTTCATGGGGCAAAAGGCACCTCCCTGCTCCTCAGCACACCTGGGACATAGACACAGGAGCAGGGAATGTACAAAAACACACCAAAAGCCATCCCCACAAGCTGCAGAGAAGCATCCTGGCCTACTCCCTGCTGTCCACCTGCCACAAGGTAAGGTCCTCACCGTTCACAGAATATCACAAAGGGCTGTTGAGACCACCTTTGAACTCTTCTTTACACTCTTGTCATCAGGCTCTTGTTCCTTGTTTTCTCTAACCTGGATAAAACAACTCTCTGCAGGAAATGGCCCAGAAACTGCTAAACAGTTGTCAGTGTTTCCAAACAGTGTTTGAAACTCTGAAAGCAGTAGCTATGGCCTGCATCAAAGTCTCACTGAGCTGTCTGTCATCACAAGATTTCTTTCCTTGCATTTCCAGTGCCTCCTAAGGAAATACTGTATTTTCCTTTACAGACAATAGGGAGATTGGAGAATGGGATATGTAAAATCTTCTGCCCCCAGTACATCATATGGGTTAAAGCACCATGCCTACACTTGGGGCAAACAACCCCCACACACCAAAATTTAGATACCGAAGATCCCCTTTTTGGTTGTTTGCCTTTCATATTTTCCTCCTTATTCCCCGCTACATCACCTGTGGCACACTCCACATTCTCTGTGATCCAAACACAATTTCACCACCCCCACACAAGAGAACAGTGCACACCTGAAACCAACAGCACACAGGCACAAGAACTCCCTGACACAACAGATACAAAGGGGACACTGAGCCTCAGTGCTTCAGGTAAGAAGCAAGCAACTAAAGCAGATGTACCATGCAAAACAAAAGTTGATTTAATGCCAAAGTCCCTAGGTAAAAGGATGTGAAGAGAGTATAAAAACAGCATAAACAGATGTATTTTCCTAACTTTTCCACCGAGGCTTTGGCAGCATTGCAATGTAAGCAGAAAAGAGCATTGTTAAAAACCTGAGTAAACAATTAAAAATCATTAAGACAGTGAGGATAAGCAGCAGAACCAAAAGTAACACCTTTTAATAATAATTTGGCTACACCTGCTTTTCAGTCAAATGCATTACCCACAATCCTGAAGGGCAAGGATTAAAAGATAAACTCAGCTTTTTTAAAAACACAAATGACAATTTTCCTTACAGTAAGGGACATTTACTCCACAGGTAAGCAGTGGCAATGACACCACCAGGTATAACTTAGGGGAGGAGCAGCTGCCAGGCTTCTTCCAAGCTGGGTGGGCAACAGCAGCAAAGACCGCACGCGGTGGGGGACAGCACAAAGCTGCGGGTGCCAGGCCTCAAAAAGAGACAGGGGCTCCCGCTACAGTGCCAGGCCTCAAAAAGACAGAGGCTCCCGCTACAGCAAACAGGAGGAGGGAAAGGCCACAGGCACAGGGCCACCACGCTGGGATGAGCCACGCTCAGCACACCCTGCAGGCCTGGTTCCAGTCATCCTTATAATACAGGCTCAAAGCAAGCAAGCTGAAGGCACACGTGTGGCTCACGACATTCTTTGTTAAGTCAGAAAACCTTCTCCTCTCCAAGAGGCCCGAACACTGCTCATGCCAGCCAGACATCCCCTCTGTTTAAACCTCCCGCCTGAACCCGCCCCAGCCCTACAGCACGGCAGGCGTGGGAAGGCAGAACAGACACTGAGCCTCCCACGTCCCCAGCTGCTGAAGCAGGAGGGAGATCCATCCCCTCCGGCTGCCGGGGCCTCCGAGAGGCGACCCCCATTTTAGGCGCTCCCCCTTCCTCCATCTCTCCCTCCCGCCTCCCCGCCCGTTCCGGCCCCAGCCGGCATTACCAGTGCTTGCCATAGAGCCAGTGTCCGCCCCAGCCCAGCAGGCAGGCTCCGAACGTGGATTTCTTCCAGTGGTGCCTGAGGGCCGCCAGCACTTTCGCCATGGTGCCCCGCCGCGCCGGGGGCCGCTGCCGTGCCCGGCCCGGCTCGGCTGGAAACGGCTCCCGCGGCCCCGGCGTTCCGCGCACGCAGCCGGCCGCACGTCACGGAAACAAACAAACAAACAAATAAAGCCCCGCGAATCCCAAGGAAAAGAGTTTTCACTCTTCCCAGAGTCCCGGCGCTCGCTGCCTTGCTCCAGCCCCCGACCGGACCTGTTGCCACGGGCTCTTGGCTGCCCGCGCTGACGCTGCCGGGAGCGCGGGCAGATGGAGATGGAGCGTCGCGGAGGACGCAAGTGAATCGGTCTTCTTTCCACGTCAATAAAAATATTCATGATGTTGCCCCCGCCAGCACAAAAAAAACCCTCAAAACCCATAAAAACCCCCAAGAAAACCCCAAACCTGCCAAAAACACCACACCCAAACCAACCAAACAAAATACAACAAGAACATCAAAGAAAATCAAAACAAAACTCACAAGTGTGAAAAATGTGTATTTTATGATTGGCTTTTCGCAAATATTAAAATGAATATTATGTGTCTTATGTTAGAAAGTTATGCTGTATTAATTTTCTTAAGTAGTGTGTTAAATATAGTTTTAGATTATAACAATGTTAAAATAGAAACTATGCTATGTAAGATACTTTTTTTAAAAGAGGACTCGCACCGAGATAGCAGCCACAGGACACCTAAATCTTTCAGAGAAAAAGAATTTATTGCTCCCTTAGCAGAAGAAACTAACTTCTTCCTGCCTCGCTCAGCCCTGAAGATGCTGTCAGGATTCAGAGGAAGAAGTTGACGACGACCAGACAGAATCCTTTGTTTGAATGGAATTTACGTATCATGTATGAAGTGTATGAGCATGCAACAGGCTATTGTTTTTAAGGGTTAATCCTCTGTTAACATGTGTCCTTTTTCGGGCTTATTTTGCCCAGAAAGAGGTACCCAGACTGTCCGTAACTCTTTGGTTTTATTGTCTCATATTGTCCTAATCTCAATTGTTCAAATTTTTATTACTCTAATTATATTACTATTTTTATATAACCATTTTATTACAATTAAATTTTTAAAATTTTTAAAACAAGTGATTGGCATTTTTCACACAAGTAAAACAGAATCACAAACAAACACCCGAAAATATTCATAATACATAGTTAGAAGAAGTGTTGTCCAGGAGGTAGGGGGGGTTTGCTGTTTAAGCCTAACCATCAGGATGACCATAAGAACCTGGAGAAATGTCTCCAGTCACACATAGAAAACATCAATATCACAAGGATGCCATGCAACCATGAACAGCATGAGCATCCTGCCAGGGGAAGGAGGAAACAAACAAGAGGCAAGATCTGACCTCATCATGGAAAAAAGCTTTAGGACAAACTAGTGGTAGTAGCCTCTCCTAGCATGAGGTTGTAACTAGTATTCTCTATAACAATTAACAAGGTAACCCACCCAGTTGATCAAGGGAAGCCAGTACCTGTAATCTTTTTGGATTTCAGTAAAACTTTTGTCAGGAAAATCCAAAAATGCCAGAAGTTTATGTCCAAAAGAAGAGGAGTCCTGCAACTTTATTGGAATAAAGGGAGAGAGTCCACCGGGGCACACCCGTGGGGTTTTCTCTCTCACAGTTTTGGAGGGTGCAGCCTCCTTTTATCTTGAACTCCGGGCCGCATGTTGCCCTCTTCCTTTCCCCACTGGCTGAGGTATTAGGAAGGTCCAGTCTTCCCAAACCCCCTGCAACATGTGCCCCCTTGAACCTGTCATTTCACCCCAAAGCTCTGAAGCTCAAGCTTGTGCAGACCCTTCTCTGTTTGAGGACCCAATCTTTCTGGGCTCTGCAACAAACCTGCTGCAAAACATCAGAAGGGACATTAAGACCCATTTCAAAGACATTAGACCAGCACCTTCACCCATGGAATTGATGGTAAAGACATGAGCTTTCCTCTCAATCCCTCCTCTTCTTGTTTCTCAATTTGTCTTTACAAACCCTAGTTATTATTAACTTAACCCTTTTGAACATCTGGAACATTTGAAGCACCCCTCCTGACTTTTCCACCTCTGGTCCCTGCACCAGGTGTGGCAAGTAAATACAGAAAATAAAGTAGACAATGACAGTTCATATTCGCCCATTAATCATTAGAGGTCCTTGTCTGTGGCTACTGATAGCCAAGTCTCCCAACCTTTTCTTCCAGCTGAGAAGTGCAAATCTCTGGGGCTTTGGAGACCTTGACCTGTGTGTGATGGGTTCACTCATGTCCAGCTGTCCTGGATGGTGTTCCTGCAATCCTGGTGGGATGTTCTGAACAGCAAATTCCAAAGGCAGTGTCTGTGCTGACTGTGCTTCCTGTTCAAGTAACCCCAAATGGCCCCAAGTAACCACCACCAGGCACTCCAGTGACCTCAGGTCAGCCCAAATGACCTCAGGTGGCCACTATTAGGCACTCCAATGACCTCAAGTAACCCCACCAGGGATTCCAGTGACCTCAAATAACCCCTACCAGGCACTCCAATGACATCAAGTAACCTCAAATGACCTCAAGCAACCCCTGAGGTTCTGCAGCCTCAGCTCTCAGGAAGGAGCAGCCCGCAGCACCCCACAGCAGCCCATCATTACTAGGCTGGCAGGGATATGAAGCAGACTCTCCCACAGCTTCTCTCCCAGCCTGGTCCCTCCATTCATCATGTTCTCGAGGAGCTGGCTCCTCAGCACCAGGACCTGAGCAAGACAGAGAACTCACCTGGTTCACAGTAGCCCTTCTATTTTGCTGCACCCAGTTAGTACAGAGTTTTAAACTGGGTTTAAAAAACCCAAAAAGCAATGAATAATATTACACAGAGAAAATGTGTAAAACTCCTCAGTGGACACAAGCCAACTTCCTGATCATGCCTCATTCTTCCTGACCTCTCTCAACTCTGTACAAGGTGTTTGAACAGAATGGGCAAAGGCAGTTATGAAGATAACACACACTGGGAATTCACATACCCACATTCACCAATTGTGGTTCAATAAAATGCACTTGCTCATCTTTTCCACTTACCAAAAGAACATTTGAACAATTGTTCCCCCTTTGGCATAAAATGCAAATTAGAGAAGTTCCTGTGTCTACTAGGAAACAAACATTGTGGTTCAGCACGGGCTGCAGTGTGGTGAGCCCCTGGTGCAATACCTGATCCTAACACCCTTAACAATCCATTTCTAATGTTCTTTTTACAAATGGCACCCTGATTCCTTCCCAGTCACTGTCCTGGTGGCTGCCCCCTTCCCACTTGTCCTGGAGCTCCCTGCACTTTCCCCCAAAGTTTGTCATGACACATGAGAGAGGGTGAACAGCCACAGAGATTTCATAAAAGTGCTGAGTTATTCAGAGAGACCCCATCCTATAAGAGGGGAAGAGGGATGTTGGCCATTCCTAACGATCTTTTGGCTAAATAAGTGATGTGAGGGAGCAATGCTGCTTTTGTAGACCACTCTTGACAGGGACCTCAGTTTGCAGACTCAGAACAGGGATGCACTCTGGCAGGGACCAGTGGGTCAGAGTAATGGATGGAACACTGGACAGATTTTTTTTTTTTTCCCCTGAATGTTTTTTCCCTCTTACAAAATGCCATTTTAGCAATTCAAAAACATCAAAGCCAATAAAATGGCTTTTTTTGTTGCCTTTTTTTTTTCTTGGTAAAAAGCTTCTCCAGATCCTTCTCTTAAGAATGTCAAGATGGAATATGAGCTGTAACATAAGGTGGTTTCTTGAGGCCAAATCTGAGATTCTGGGTATGCAAAAGTCTGTTCTGCAAAAATCAAGTTGATGCAGAAGATGGTCCAGAAGACACTCTGCTGTTAGTGATAAGAAAAGCTGATTAAACCATAGGGATTAACATCTCTACTATGTTCTAGGTTTTCTTTTCCCTTTATTTTGCAGAGCAGAAGATCTGGGATTTTTTTTTTTTTTTAAGTAAGAAAACATTAAATTATCTTCTCCTGATGAATATTTCAGGCATAACCTCATACAGTAGCCATTGCTTCCCACTTAAATATTCCGGGTTCATCTGTCCACTGCATCTCAGTGTGCTGAGTATGTGCACTTGATGTAGTGCTGAATGTTCCAGGTAGTGTGGAGTGATTAAATGTCCTGTTTTTCTTTTGGTGTTTGTCCTACTTTTTTAGAGGATTTGAGTGGTATGGCCAACTGCTAACAGCAATGATAGCCTCAGATATTAGTACTCTCATCCTTTTATTCACTTATGAAAAGACTGTGTGCTGATAAATGCTTTTCAAATTCATAATTCTCATGTGGTCCCACAAATAATTTACAAACATCTATAACTTCCTATTTTGCAACCAAGTCTACCAAGTACAGTTATATTCATTAACGATGTTTCCAAAACAAGCTTGAATTTTTAAAATAAACACTCTTTAGTATTCAAATACATGTTCAGAGCAGTCAGAAAAAATGCTTAAATGTATGAAAGACCTGAGTATCTCTAAGATGGCTGAATGGCAATTTTCCTGTGTTTATAACCATGAAAACACATCAGAGTTAGTATAAATGAGAAATTTTATCTCAGCTGGTACTTGTCTTCAGCATTCCTAGCAGAGGGACTTGACCCTGCTTTGGCCAGGGTGGTTGGCCAGGGTGAGGTCCAGAGGTCCCATCCCATCTCCCCTGCTGGGACTGTATGACACTATCTGAGATTTTGGGTTGCTGATTTTTGATGAGAGCTGCACTTAGAAGAAAGAGACAGTGCAGACAGCAATGACAGATTGTGCACTTCTCTTTTTACTTGGCATTACTTAGAATGCAGCGTCCATTCTGAAATTCCTCCTGGCAAGCATGTATGTCCTAGTTTTTGGCTGTGGCTGTCTGATCGCCCTCAAGGTAGATCACACCTGCCATGCTGCTGCATGTACCAGGTAATTCTCTTCTAGCTGTCCTAGTTTTCTGCATGTCACATCAATAGAAGCAGGTATTAAGAATGTGTGCAATGGAAAATGAGAGGATAAAGGACTGATCTTGAGCATCCTCTAGATTATGTGTTGTAGTTATTTTTTAGGCCATGTAAAACTCCTGCTCTCTTTTTCATAACACTATTCAGAGGAGGCTGGTATGTGTGATTTTGTTGTCTTATGATTGCTAGGTGTTGCCATCTTATTGCAAAAGTTTCATACCTTCTTAGAGATTTCTCATGGGCAGCTCCTCACA